GATAACGACAATAAATTGTAAACGATGAATTGAACGTAATTCAAAATCATTTTATAAAATTAATTTTTGTGCAACAATAAAACCAATAAGACGACGAGATAACTTTACCAGTGACTAGAAATTAAAAACCGTCGAACAGGTATTTTACTTTTTCCCTAACGAATCAATAGCTTAAACTTGATAATACATGAATTCATTTTTACAACATAGTGTTTCACAAACAAACACTTTCCGCGAAGTAAAAATTGAATTAATTTCACCAATCTTCGAATCGTTTTCAAAAAATATACGCGTTGTGTCAACCTCCGGTAGATATTGTAATCATAAGTAATGTGGGCGATTTTGATTGGCTGGTTGGTGTTTTCTCCTCCGGTCACTCTGTATCACACGGTTGTACGAGTCGCTATCGAAACGTTTTGTGTATACGTATGATATCTTTGTGCGTGGAAGAAAAATGTTCGGAATTCCAAACTACCTCCAAGCAAACAGTTCGAAAATACGAAATTCAAGCGAATGGCCGTGTGGCTAAACGATGCTAATAGTTATGTTAATAATTTTTTTTAACTTACCACTGGTGTTCTAACATAGCTGATAAGACTTACAATTCTAAATTCTTATAGTTACATAAGTTATACATTGTAACTTATAAGCACACCTAGCTAAAAGTGTATTGACCATTTTCATTAATCATGTACAAGCTTAATACATGAACTTGAAATCTGCATCTAGCAATTAAGAGTTTAACCAACAAATTTTTGAAAAGAAAATATCATAACGTTATTTACAACAAGGATTTTTTTTTTTTTTTTGGAACAGCGTGAATTAGTGTTATAAAAAGGTAATATTTTAAAATTATTCTACATGTTTTGAAAATGTCATTGCGCATAGTTAGTAATTAGTAGTCAAGTTCATATGTACGTAAAAGTTATAGGTTTTTGCGAATAATATTTTTGAATTATAACTTATAACAAAACAATCAGTAAAATACAGAAAAATTGCACATAGATACCTATGTATTTTTAAAATTTTTTTATATTTAAGATCTTATTTAGGATCTTGTTCTGTACTTTAAAACTATATAATTTAGTGAAAAAATGTATAATAATTAAAAAAAAAAATTTTAATTTCCAATGTCTTAAAATAATTATTTTAAAGAGTTAACATATCATGAAAATTTTATCATTTACACAATAGGATAATATTAATATTTGAAGAAAATTTTGGGTCTACAGTTATTTGTTTTAGAATTACAACAAAATATCAAAAATTGTTGAAGGAGAAATAATAATAATTATATTTACAATATACTGCAATATCGTAAACATTTGAATTTTTAATGGTCATAAAAAATGTATGTGATACTTCGGTAAGCTTTTTTTCTCGGTAATTTTAAAAAGCACTAAGAAAATTTTTTTACTCTTAAAGTAATAGCTAGATTTTTTTTGTTACACAAAAAAAATTCCTCAAAAATTAAGATTGAATTATTTTTATTTTTTAGTACTCAAAATAATGATTGTGACATAAAAATATTACACATACTTTAATCTCAGAATCTAATATTAATTAATACAATAATGCTCTATAATTTAATAATGTAATGTTATACACAATAGGTACAGTCAATACATCTGTCAGAATTGAGTTTATTAAATCATGTTCTCTCATTCGATTTTCCATTTTTAATTTCAAATATATCGTGTATAATATGCAATGAGGAATAAGTGAATAATTAACGTGTGTCTGCTTTAAGTATTAAAATAAGTCGCTAAAAGTAATGACATTACTTTAGATTAAAACAGTGTTTCTCAGTCTTTGTATTAAAATATTTTATACTTAACGATAAAAAAAAATAAATAGGATATGGGTGATGTTTAATAGATAATTAATTTTAATTGGTGATGTATACTTAAAATAAAAGTATCGATAATAGATAACTTATTTTTAATCATCATAGAAATTATGTCAAATAATACCTATGAAGTTTTACAAATAATGTCAAAAATTTTTGCACATTTTATGCCATTTAATATACTTCATGACACATTTGGATTTATTCGGTGGCACACTGGTTGAGAAACATTGGACTACATGTTCAGAATTTGTCAATCATAAATGCTTAGATAGTTCTGGTTGTTTGACTCTATGTTTTCATATTCGGTGTAATTTTTCTAAGTGAAAACTGATTTTTGAGTAGAATCTTATTACTTAAATAAAAACTTAAATAAATTATTCTTTAAAAATCTTTATAGCAGTGTTCTGAACGGTACCTAGTAGGAATTTTCCGAATAAATAACGACGGTTAAATCCAACATTCTATTACTGAAAATACTGCATCTAGTAATATAGTATATTTAATATAAATATTAAATATACGTATAATATTTACTACTAGGAACTTATATGCATCCAGCATTATATATTTATAACTTACACAGTTACTCAATGAATATATTTGTTTATATACCTATTATATATTATGTAACTGTTTTACCGTATCCACTATATAATTGAAATTGATACTTGATATTACATATCTAGATCGAATTTAAATAACCTTTTAAATATATATATATTATTTATAAAGAAAATATATTGAATTAATTCATATAAAACAACATTTTAATCATCATATTATGTACTATTTATTAGAAAATATTTATGTTTTTATATTATTAACGTAGGTATTATACGAGTTTCAAATGTATAGTAACAATATTTTCCATTAAAATAAATTCTTAACGAAGTCTTCATAATTAAATAATGTTCAAAAGTTATCAGTAATTATTTTTAAACTTATTTAATATAACTATCCTAAGTTGTTTAAAACACTTACTCATTTTCAGTTTAGATACTTTAATTTAATAAATTGATCAATGGTCACTAAATCGTGATTAAAAATATTGATTAAATATATTTAATATAGATTATATTTAATCAACGTTAAGAAATACACTATTAGTTTATTAATTGTTCAATGAATGATTATGTAACTCATAATTAGAGTATGTACTAATTTTTATGTTGAAAGTAAATTTTATGTAGATTCATATACTCTATATCTTATAAAAAAAATACCACGTTTAGGAACAAAGTCGTAGTTAGTTCCATCAATGCTTCTGGCCAATTAATAAATTTCGTTCTAATACATTTTTATACTTCCTCTCAAATAACTTTTTTTTTTATTTAAAATAAGACATAGATATTTGAATGTTAATTTAAATTAATTAACATTTTTTTTTGAATTTTTGTTTGTTAAAAAACTAATGTTTTTATATTATTTTAATTTATATATAATCGTTAAAAAATAATAACTAACAATTAGTACTAGTGACTTCTTAAATACCTATTAGATATTTTCATTTTTATACGTAGTTATTTTATTAAAATCTAAATTACATCTTATATTAATATAAAAAAGTTTATTTAATTTTGTATATATGATAACAATAATAATAACTACCGTAAAATTTCTTTTAAAATTTTCTTTAACGAACTTATGAAATATAAATGATTAAATATTGAAACATAAGTTATTTTTAACTTTAAAACATATCTTATTAGTTATTGTTAATAATACAAATTAATTTTCAAAGTTATTACTATTATTTGGTGTAATATTATAGCGTCATATAATATTTGTAATATTTTATACTAAATATATATCTATATTGTGTATTATTGAATGGTGATCTATCTTATAAAACTTAAAATTACCGATATTTATGATTTTTTTATTAATATGCAGTATAAATATTTTGAGCTTATATTAATAATAACAAAAGTATGTTTTCTTTTGGCTTTCCACCTCTTTTTTTACTGCGCTTTTGACTTGGGTCAATCTTATTGCCAAGCCTTAGAGCCCAACGATTTTTTTTGGAGATGACAACTAAAAAAGTAATATGTACAAGCATGTTTATTAAATCATAATATTTATGATAATTCAAATATATGAAAAACTGCGTTTTTAAATTTGTATAATAATCAATAAAATAATATATTTTAGAATTTAACAATTCAAAAATTTTTTTAGAAAATTATAAATGGATTTTTGATATTGTATGTAATATTGTACTTTATCATAGTCAGTTATAATTATTGTACAGTAAGTCTTGTTTCATAGCCATGCGTAACGCACATGGAAGATACTTTGTGTTTTTCAAAGTAAAGCTCATACACGCTGTTGGCATGACCACTTACGGCTTTTTAGTTTTAATTTCATAGCATATAATTTCTAACTTATAAACTTTTACGTAACTTACATAAAAAATGTAAAATAAATATATAAAAACCTACATATATTTAAATATTTTTATTATATACTTACTACAGTACTCAAATGTATCATGATTTTGTGCCCAAACTTGTCACATTTTGAGATGAAATACCTAAAAGTTGTGTAACTTTTTTTATTATTACATTGTTACCTACAATATGTGATCAGTCATTTGTACTCAGCAGGTATATAGATACTATATAACAGATATCTACAGATTCTACAGGCTACAAATATTGAAAACTTTATAATAAAATCCTAAAAAAATTGTATTATTATGTAATTGATACATTAAGCCGCACTTAGTTTAATTTTTCGAAGTTTTTTTATGAAAAGCTCAAAAAAAAAAAATAACATCTCTTATACATTTTCATAAACAGCAGTATCTACATTATAAAATTTATAATTGTGTATACGTGATAAATGCAATATTTATCTTTGGTAGGTAAACCTAGACAGCAGACACCTTAGTTGATTAGATGATCAGTTAAACTATGCCCGTACGTCATGTTATAGGTGTATCATCATCATGTTCAATATATTATGTATATTATATTACATAATAAATGTTCACGCCTTGCCTGGATTATAATTATGACGAGGGAAAAGGGGAGTTCTTTTATTCAAGAATTACGCTTACTTATGTAAACCCTGCCAATTTGCCCGTATGGTTATAAATTGTTATTATTATGTACCTACCTGCTAATGCTAGAACATGAAAACGACGATGACCGAAAGCGCACCTATATCTGAACGTACCGTGGTTGGGTGTATACGAAATTCGTTGTCAAGGCGCTGTACTGTCGCTGCTGTCGTCGCTTTCAGTCAACGTGTTGGACGTGCACAAGTCCATCGTCTGTTGAAGCTCTATTGTGGAAAATATCAATCTTACACCATGGTAATTTATAATATATTACGCAAATAATATTTTTAATAATATATATTATTAAGTAGGGTATTTCTTTAAACATATAGTGTGTTCATTTATAATTATTAGGTACTTAATTAATATTCAGATTTAAAACTAAAATATTAATTTTTCATTATATTATAATTTAAGTATATATAAAATATACACATAATAATAATATATTAGAAAAAAAATTTAAATAAATAAAACTATAGATTTATTAGTAAAACAAAATGTATTGATTAAAAACTACAATTTGCATTTTATTTTAAACTGCACCTCCTCCTGTATTTTTTATTTAATTATTATTAACAATTTAAAATTAAATCATTCAAGTTTTTCATATTAATGCTTTAAGTAATTAAGAAAAAAAATATATTTACACTAATATTTTTCATTTTTTAATTATTTAGTGCCTAGAACAATGACATTTCATGTATAAATTAAATGAAACTATATATTCAAATTTCTTATTTTATGTTCTATGATTATATTACTGTATTATTCTAGGTCTGTTTTTATTTTTTATCCCTTGATTATTTTTTTAAGATTGATTATTAATTTAGGCACATTATTTTTTATTTTTATTAGGTATATCTGAGAGCATACCTGTATTTTATTTATTATCTGTGTTGGTTAATATTCTACAATTATAATGTATGAAATAATAAGATAGGCACTTACTGGTTTTTAAGTGTTAGATAGTTCATAACGGAATAATAAAAAGAGCAACTTAGAATTCAAACTTTAATCTTATTAAAAAAAAAAATTAAAAATTGAGTACATCTTACTATCTTGTTTACTTACTAAAATTTATAACAATAGGCTTATTTTTCTTTATTTAATAATTTCGATTTTTGGGATTCTTTTATAATGTTTATTTAATTGAAATTTATTCTATAAATATTTTGTCATATTTTAATAATACTATATAATATCCATCATAAAGTATATATAATATTATATTATGAAGTATTATCGTTTGTTATTTCTTATGGAGCATTTTTTACCTGTAATTAGTACATATGGCTTGTCAGCATAATTGTTTTTTACTTAAAAATAAATTTACGATAGTTTCATTAAATTTACAATTCACAAATGACACATACACTATTCAAATTTTTTTTTAAACTGGTGGAGTTTTTAATAATACAACTTTTATGTTATACCATGGACATAGTATAATTAATATTTTATTTCTAAAGAATATTATAAATCATAAGTTATTGATGTTTAAATTTTAAGTTACATAGAAATTTATAATATTTTACAATCTATGAATAGAAATTCAGAAAAATAAAACGTTAAATTTTCAAATTTTGTGTTTAGGAGTTATATAAAAAGTATAATTACATCTTAATTTAATGAAGTAAATAAAATAAAAATTTATTTTTAAAAGCATAATTTTAAATTTTGTGTTATTAGTTAAAATTTTTTGTTCTATATATTATCTTTTAGGGGTTATTTTTATTGTATAATGTTAAGTAAATATAATTATTTTTGTGACAAAAATCATAGATTTATTAATTTACTTTTAAACATATATGGTGCACAATTCACATAAAATATATTATAACATTATGAATAATTAAAATAATATTTTTTAAATTTCTGTTCAAAAATGTTATGTGTTAATTTGTTTTGTGGAATCTTACGGAACTGTCGAAGTACCGTAATTTGTATTTTGAGGGGGTCTTCTGGGGATTCAAAGTTAACAAAGTAAATATTGAGGGTGAGGGTTGACTAAGAAATGTGTACTCTTTACACGAATATTATGACGTATATTATTATATGTAAATAATAATTTATTATATTGTTTATTAAAAATAAGTTTTTTCGTTTAAACTTATAATAAAAATAAATAAATTAAGTCAAAATTTATTCCAAATTATTACGAGTACAACGATTTAAAAAAAAAATTAGTATGAATAATATTATATTTAATTATTAAATTGTATTGTTAATGTTTAGCTATCACATCAAATAAAAATGTTACCTTTTGAATTAGTCATAGCAGTTTATCAGTATCTAAATTAAAAATTGTTGATACAAAGAAAATTTTCATTATTTTGATAAATTGAGCTTAGGTTTTTCTATATTTTAAAACTACTACGAGTACCTATAATAATAATATATGTAGAAATTTGTAATAAATTCTTAAGTTTTTGATCTAGTCTAAAATATATTTTAACAACACTTTAAAAAAACTAGTAAACACTTAATAAAATAGTTATAATTTTTTATATATTGAAAATTTTAATTTAAGTTATAATGAAATGTTTCAAGTACCTACCTATTATCATTATTGTCTGAATACTCTGAATTATAATAAATTATCAAAAATTGCTTAGATATAAATCATTATTATATTTATGTAAGAATATTCAACATTGTGTCTAAACTTTAATTTCAACCACTTATTAAAAATAATTGCTTGTGGATTTACGCTAATCTTTTTTCTTAAGTTACAGTAAAATTAACTCGGAGAATTTTGGTATTCAATTTTCAAGTAAAAATGTTATGCATTATTAACTATAAATAGTTTTTTAATTTTTGTAATTTTAAATAATTATAGATAAAAATTGTAAAATTTATTTTTGATATTTTTTAAATTTGGCTATTGGTAGCTTAAATGAAACCTTGTTTTAAATTTTAAAGCTTCTTTTACTCATAAACAAAATTTTACCTTCCATAAATCGAAAAATAGAAATAAAAAATAAAATGTTAAATGTTTACTTCACCACCTAAAGAGTCAAAGTATTTTGAAAATGATATCATGTAAAATAAATAGTAATATAAATATTCAGTGAATATTTAAGTCTTAATAACAGTTATAAATTAGATACAGCGAAAAAAAAATTGTTAACATTTAAATCCAATTTGATTCTAGAAACTTTCCTTTAAGTCGAAAATTTAAGTATTTTTAAATGTTCTAAAAAGTGATAACATTAAATAAATATAAAAAAATACACAGATTATTGTAAAATCATTACATATATATTGCTCTGCTTAGGAACTAAAACTATAATTTAATCAATAAAATTGTTTCAATATTTTCTGTTACGCATAGTAAGTTTATTATATTTTATAATAATAATTGTTATTTCAGTTATTTGGTTCTAATTTATTTGCATCCCGCCCATGTAAAAACAATAATTTTTACTGGTAAAAATAATCCTGTTTGTAAAATTGCGATTGTAAAAAAATGGTATAGGTTTTGTTGTACTAGAATGATAAAAATAAATATATCTCCTTTTATGTAGATATAAAATATTTTTTTTAAATATTACACTGGAATTTCATAAATTTTTTTATTATAAATAACGAAAATCAAGTCTAAAAAGTCAAAGAATACTATTTATTACTTTTCGTATTTCTAAAAACTATAAATAGGTATTTTAACAACTTTTAAAATTAAATTATTTACTTAATAAATTGAATTATTTTACACATTACATTAAGTCACATCGATTGCCATCAAGCGTATATAAATAATTTTGACAATTTAATGTAAACATAAACATTTAGTGTTGTTTTCATGAGTACGATCTTATTTAATATTTTGTTTTTCGTTGTAGGTAATTTTAAAGAAAAATTGACGTCTTATTGCGTCTCAAGAAATATATATTGTTAGATGACATAAAAATTAAGATGTGTATTGATAAAAATAATCCAATTAATACTAATATCGAGAAAGATTTAAAATGTCAATTATAATTATCTTGTCTTTTATATTAACATTACTTAATGGTTTCACATATGTGTATAGATTTTGTAATTGTCGTGTAAGGGAATAAGTGAAAGAAGCTACACTCTAAAGGAAATTTGATTTAATTTTAGTTTAAAAAAAAACATTGTTTTATCAAAAATGTTGGCAATGATGATAATATGTAATGTCGCATTTGATCGATAAGAAATAGGTACTTAGATACTCTAGTAGGTATTAATAACTTGAGGCCAAAGGAAGGATAAAAATAATAAGTATAAATTAATAATCTAGAAGGGGTTGTATATACAATATACATTTATATAACATATACATATATAAAATAATGAAAAAAATAAAAAAATATATAATGTATGTAATAAACCTTTTTGAATAACTTTGAAAAAAAACGAGGTAATAAAATTGAGGTTAACGCGTACAACACGCGATTGCTAGTATTCACACGCAGCTTGAAAATGCATTTATTTGTTTTTATCGTAAAACTTTTTGCACGATTTGTCAATTTGTCACGTAAAACAAAACAAAAAAAATAAATAAAATTAAAAATATAATTCATACAAATATAATATTAATTTATTAAATTAAATCAGATTAATTATGTAATTTATATAAAAAAAAATATTGTATTAGATCATCTCAATCTCATTTTCTTCATGGTTAAATTATTAAAACACAAGTAAATATCAAAAATAATCTGTACTCTAAGTAATTTCGAGTTATATCTCATGAAATTGCATATTAGCATCTGCATTCTGTTTCCTAAAATTAATACAAGCTTAAATTTGGGAGTTAATTTATAAATTATAAACTACAAAGTGTGTATAAATGTATATAATATGTATATATTTCTTGGAGACGTTCTATGATTATTTTTTTTAAGGAGTACCTGAAGGCGTAAGCGTCAAGCCTAGTGCAATGGCTTACCTACCACCACCTTCACATTGGTTTTGTATCTAGACGATATTATATCGTTAAAACTCATCAGATATTAAAATTTATAAAATGGGTAAATAAACTGCAGTTTTATATTTAAAAAATAATAGATATTTTTATTTAATTTTGTATCCAAATTATTCTTTAGAATTGTATTAGTTAACCCTTTTAGAATCTAGAACGTACATTTGTGCCTAGTACCTACTTATATAAACTTTTGTTGTTTTTGTATTTTGTTTTTGAGATTATCATAAATTTATAATATCATAAAATAAAAATTGTTATACAAATTTAATCTGATTAGTATAGCTAGATTTTAATTAAATTT